AGGATTTTAGAGATGCTTAGGTGGGCTATGGCCAAAAAAAAGTTGGGAACCACTGGTCTATAGTGCAAGTGGTCGCCCTGACTGATCCAAGCACCTTGTCCACATCCTTGAGCCTTAGCAACTGAAACTCATCCAACACAACAGGACTAGACAGTGCTCTGGACACCTCTCAAGATTCATCTGCTGTAACAGTTGAGTCAACGTCCCGGCAGATGCAAGCAATTTTATCCTCAAAATGCTTTGCAAACTAGTCATTGTGAGCTAGTGTCAGTTCTGCAACCTCCTTTGGGCCAGAGTGTAAGAGGTCTTGCATGACCCGGATGCAATACCTTCGTTGCAGCCTTCCTTGCCACTAGGTAGACTTGATGATGAGTGTTTCCCTCCACTCACATTCAAGCTGCCTCCTAGCTTGTTACCTTGCTCTAAGCTCATGGGGTATATCAGGAATCCAAGCAGGCTTCACAATGTGGGAGATCATGTCAACGGCCCGAGCCATTTGGGTGTTCAAGAGGTTGGCCAGGGATTTGACAGTAGTGCCAGTCATATCAGCCAGTAACCCCCCAGAGCCATCTGGAAACCCATTGGGATCAATCAGCCTCCAAGGATGGAGCATCTTCATAGGTTCTCCACCTCTGCAGAGGCGAAAAGGTGTTGAAAGCCTGCATCTCAACAGGAAACAATCTGACCATGACAAGGGATTGATGTCAATATCTCCCACTTTTAGATTACTCTCTTCCTGGCACATGCGTTGAACCAGTGAAATGTTGGGACAGCCCCGTGGTCGTCATGGTAGTCATAAAGTCAGAGACAACCTAGCATTTAGCAACAGCAGCCACAGACTGGAGGGCTGGCTGATAGGACAACCACAATTCCCCAGGTTGGAGGAGGGGTGGCTGCCACACGGCACAGTCACTGTCTTCTGGTAATCTCTAGGTTAGATTACTGCAACACGGTATATGTAGGGTTGCAGTTCAGAAATTTAGCTGACCCAGACCCTGGAAGCATCATCTGAGGCCCTTCTTCATGTGCCTCCTCTGCAAGAAGTCCAGAGGGTGGCACACAGAAAAGGGCCTTTTCTGTGGTGGCTCCCTGCTTGTGAAATGCTCTCCCCAAGGAGACTCACCTGGTGCCTTCATTACATATCTTTAGGCAGCAGGAGAAACCTCAACCAGGCATTTGGCTGATTAACATTCTATGGTCTTTTGAATGTGTCGGGGCATATGTGTGTTACTGGTTTGTTTTGCTACTACTTTTTGTGTTTTCATTTTGTATTTTAAGGTTGTGAACCACCCTGGGATCTTTGGATGAAGGGAGGTATACAAATTCAATCAATCAATCAATCAATCAATCAATCAATGCCTGTGCCATGTGCCCCTTACTCTGCCTGTCCCACCTCCCACACCATACCACCTCCTCCTTTGAACCACTGTTATTGACCACTCTCTGCTCTCTCCAGCTCCTCTGCTTCCAGACACATTTCCCCTCCCTCAATTACAAAGAACCACCCAAAAACCCAATACTCTGGTTTCTCTTCAGAACAACGACAACAAAAAACCCCTACACGTATTAAAAACGGTTAAAACAATTGCAGCAGAGCCCAGGTGGAATCTACACACATATAAAAAATGCTGTGAAAATGCTTTATTTTAAAACTTTTTGAAAAATATATTGAATTTTACGTAGGCTCCCATTTGTATATTGCACTTAAAAAAGGTAAATAGCCCCTGGCAGTTAAGTCCAGTTGCGGACGACTCTTTATAAAACATTTAAAACGTTTTATTTGCAGCTGTGTAGCTGAGTCCCCAGTCTCTGATTTGCCGCTGGTGCTGCAGCCAGCAGATGTAGACTGGCTGAAGATGCAGTCACAAGACTACTGTTGGTCTCAACTGCTGGCGCTGGCTTGCCTGATGGTGAGGTTCCGGAGATTCAAGGAGGGACAGGGTAGCTGTAGATGGTGAGGGGACTGAAGTCTCCCCGGCATGGCAATCTCTCTTGTTCGCCTCCTTGCCACAAACAGCAGTTCCTTGGAAAACTGCTTCGACTTTCTAGACATGGGAAAAGTGAAAGTCTGGGTGAGCCTAGAGTTACAATTCTCAGAGTTCCTGAGAAGGAGGATTGATTGTCAAACCACTCTGGGAACTGCAACTCTGTGTAGGAAATAGGGAACTCCTAGCAACTTCCAGCACTCATAAACTATTGTCCCCAGGATACTTTGGGGTAAGCCATGGCTTTTCAAGATGGTATAACATTGCTTTAAATGTGCACTGTTGATGGGACCTGAGTTGCTTTTTGCTTTTGATGTTTTCATTGTTGAGAGCACTCTTGGATGTTATGCAAGCGTCGCTGCTACTGAAAAGAGCCTTTCGTCAGGAAGACAAAGCCACAGGGCTTTGAATGAGTGGGTGTAAACCCGTCTTGCGTCGTTTCCTCTCTGGATTATTTGCAGCAGCAACCGGACAACCGGAACTGCGAGTTGTTTGTTGGTCTTAGTGGTTGTGCTATGGCAACATCTGAAGCTGCCTTCAGCATTAGCGGAACATAGCTACCATTTATCAGATGGTGTGAAATCCTGCTTAAGCAGTTCCCCTCAATAAACTGGTTCAGTTGTCTCATGAAGCAAAATGCTTGGGGCTTCTCAGAAAGCTAACTGATTCTTCTGCACCTTTGACATTTTATCTTCTTTTTGCTTGGGGCACTGGGGGCACTCATCCTTTGATTTTCCTGGCCCATATTTCTCGAGACGGTGATAATGTAGAATAATGACCTGCAACAAAATGTTGCAGTGTGTTGTCTTCTTCTTCTACTACTACTACTGTTACTATTTTGATTAGTGGGAAGTGCCCTGCACTGCCTGGGTATTCTAAGAAACTAGTACTACTATTAAAAATAGTGAGTTTTGACTTGTGACACCACAAAATAATGAGCAAAACCATGCTTTTGTCCACCATCTTGATTCAAAATGGCACCTGGCACCAAAACATCAGCAAAGACCCTCACCACCTCAGGAGACCTTGTGCTATGTTTAGTGAAGTTACCTTAAAGGCTTCCAAACCCATAGAAAACAATTGGATAGACAGGAAAACCATTTCCCCAAAGACAATCTATTATCTATCTATCTATCTATCTATCTATCTATCTATCTATCATCTATCTCTATCTATCTATCATCTATCTATCTATCTATCTATCTATCTATCTATCTATCTATCATCTATCATCTATCTATCTATCATCTATCTATATCTATCTATCTATCATCTATCTATCTATCTATCTATCTATCATCTATCTATCTATCTATCATCTATCTATCTATCTATCATCTCTCTCTCTCTCTATCATCTATTATCATCATCTATCTATCTATCTATCTATCATCTATCATCTACCATCCATCTATCATCTATCTATCTATCTATCTATCTATCTATCTATCTATCTATCATCATCATCATTATTATCTATCATCTATCTATCTATCTATCTATCTATCTATCTATCTATCTATCTATCTATCATCTATCTATCATCTATCTATCTATATCTATCTATCTATCTATCTATCTATCTATCTATCTATCTATCATCTATCTATCATCTATCTATCTATCTATCTATCTATCTATCTATCATCTATCTATCTATCATCTATCTATCTATCTATCTATCTATCTGTCTATCATCTATCTATCTATCTATCTATCTATCTATCTATCTATCTATCATCATCATTATTATCTATCATCTATCATCTATCTATCTATCTATCTATCTATCTATCTATCTATCTATCTATATCTATCTATCTATCTATCTATCTATCTATCTATCTATCTATCTATCATCTATCTATATCTATCTATCTATCTATCTATCTATCTATCTATCTATCATCTATCATCTATCTATCTATCTATCTATCTATCTATCTATCTATCTATCTAATTTCTTATCTTCCTTACATGTCCTACTACTGGAGACTTTGAAGTGCTTAATGATAAAAGGGGAAGATGAGGGGAACAAAAGGAAATAAACCTTGAGAAATGTCCTTTGGCTGAGATTATCCCTTCACAGAAGTGTTCTAGAGATCAGCCCTCCCCCATTATTGTTTGCCCCCTGGAAAAGACCCTGATGTTGGGAAAGATGGAGGGCACAAGGAGAAGGGGACGACAGACGACGAGATGGTTGGACAGTGTTCTCGAAGCTACGAACATGAGTTTGACCAAGCTGCGGGAGGCAGTGGAAGACAGAAGTGCCTGGCGTGCTCTGGTCCATGGGGTCACGAAGAGTCCGACACAACAACAACAATGCCACCATTTAGAAAACCTGAGCACTTAATTGGAGGAAATGCCTCCTTTTACAAGCATTTGCACTCTTTCATTTGAATGGGGCCCCTCCCAAAAGAGCTTTATGGTGGATCATCCTCAGCTTCTTCTGGCTAAACAGGGGTTTCCGGCTCCTAAATCTGCCCACCAAAACTCAGTCTTGTGTATTTCCCAGAAAACCACTCAGATCTTCCATTTGGCTTTGTTAAAAAGATAATAAAATGATGAAGGTCAGGATAACCACAGTGAAGCTGAAAGCTTACGAGAATTGATTTGCTATTCTGTTAAGATGTTATTTAATTGGATTTTAATATAGACTTAACTGGGCATCATCTCTGCTTCCTAATTCTTTCCCCTGACCTGCCAAAACCAAAGGAAACCTGAAAGGAAAGGACTATTCAAGACAGATAGATAATATAAGAGCAAGCTTACATTAATATATTTTACTTTAGTCCGGTTATTTAATTAATCAATTATATTTATGCTTTGGTTTTCAGCCAGAATTGGCTCCTAATGCAGCTTGCATTTAGAACCAACACAGAGGTATGATATAAATAGTAATGTGAAGGTGTGTGTGTGTTTGTGTTTGACAGTCACTTTTGACCCCCATCCCAGCTGATGTGAGTTGTTGTCGAAAACCTCTGAAGGTCACCAGGCTGGCAAAGGTTCCTTTGGCATGAGGGATACCTCAGTTGGTAGGGCATGAGACTCTTAATCTCAGGGTTGTGGGTTCAAGTCTCACACTGGGTGAAAGATTCCTACATTGCAGGGGGTTGAACTAGATGATCCTTGTGGTCTCTTTCAACTCTGCAATTCCATGATTCTATGAGAAGGCTGTTAGAAACTTCTGCTTTCTAGTGCTTGGTGATTATTTCCCAGTCTGTATCCAAGTTTGACACCTGAGAGTCCATTAAGCACAGTTCCAGTTGCTGGAAACTTCAGTGGGGGAGAGCGCTGTTGTGATCAGGTCCTGTTTTTGGACTTCCCAGGGATATCTGGTTGGCCACGGGCACAATCCCACTTCTCCCTTTGACACATGGATTGCACACACATTTGTTGTCAGAACACAGGGATAATGTTTCTGAGAATTCTACACTGCTAAAGCAGGACAAAGGGTTCTGGGAATTTCATGTCTCTAATTGTCTCTAGGATGAATACACAGGGCTTCTGTGTATTTATCCTAGAGACAATTAGAAGAATTACCGACAAAAGAAGAATGGAGGATGAAATTGATGGACTATGCAGAATTGGATAAACTAACCGGAAGAATTCGAAACCTGTGGGACCAGAGATTCACAGAAGACTGGTGTAAATTTACGGACTCTTTGAAAAGTAATTGTGATGACCAGATTACGTTTGTAGGTTTGCAAGAAGTTTTGTGAGGTAAATTATTTGAATTATTGCAAAAATGGTTAAAGAGGTGGATTGTGAGTTAAGATAATTAACGGCAATAGGAAATGCAGAAGAAATGATAAAAATGGTAGATCAACAGAGGTGCTGATGGAAGTCCAAAAAGATTGTATAAGATGTGAAGTTCTGTGGAATGTATAATAATTGGTATGTTGAAATTAATAGGATAAATACACAGGGCAAATATTCCGCAGTCCAGTTCTGGAAACTGAAACATGTCATCAGTAACTTGAAAGTCCCACCTTTCATCCCAAGTCTGTGATGGTGGGCTGTGGATGCACTCTGTATATCCTCAGAAACCCTCCCATTCTTTTTATGTCATTGCTTCACATATTCCAGACCTGGGGAAGCAGGAAACGAAAAGAACCAATGTTCTAGGAATGCGCTGGCCCTCAGACGAACGCCATATGCTATTAAACTAATTTATTTATTTATAGAACCTTGTTGCTGTGTGTGACGTTTTGCACATTAGCATAAGGGGAGGGGTGGTGGTGGAAATCCCACATCCCATGGGGATTAAAGTTCATTTGTGTCCGGATTTACTTTGCATTCCTGGACACCGTGTGTAGTTTCCTTGACTAATCGCTTGAGGTGTGTTTGGTGTGAGCACAACGTTGGAATGGAACAACAACAGAACGCCCAACCCAAGTGGCATGGCAAAAGAGCGATGGGAGACTCTTCTGGATTTCACAAGAAGCGCCAACATCTCCTCTTTGCCCTAGTTTTATCCCCAGAGGCAGTTTCGCCTGATACTACAGCCTCACCTCAGCTGAGTCTAGAAGCTCCCTGGAGCATGGAGACTCCCAAATAGACACTGTCCCTGAGGCCAGGGCAAAAAAGAAGTGGAACCCCAATGAGCGATCCCCTTTTTTCTACATAAACTACAAGGATCCTTGTGGCATCTTGATGACCAACATACTTTATTATGGCCTAAACCAGAGCTTCCCAAATGGAGTCCTGTGAGCTTCAGCCATAAGGGTTCATGCTGTGAACCAGACATATAATCTGAATTTCCTTTCAATTCAAATTGCAACGCAATAAAATACAACATAAGAAATAAAAGAAGCAGCAGAACAACAACCCTACAGCGTCTAGCACAGTGCATTATAATGGCTGTAATAGGCAGAAAAGGGACGCAGGTAGTGCTGTGGATTAAACCACAGAGCCCAGGACTTGCTGATCAGAAGGTCGCTGGTTCGAATCCCTGCAACGGGGTGAGCTCCCGTTGCTCAGTCCCTGCTCCTGCCAACCTAGCAGTTCGAAAGCACGTCAAAGTGCAAGTAGATAAATAGGTACCGCTCCAGCGGGAAGGTAAACGGCGTTTCCATGCGCTGCTCTGGTTCGCCAGAAGCAGGTTTCTCATGCTGGCCACATGACCTGGAAGCTGTACGCCGGCTCCCTCGGCCAATAAAGCGAGATGAGTGCTGCAACCCCAGAGTCAGTCACGACTGGACCTAATGGTCAGGGGTCCCTTTACCTAATAGGCAGAAAAATAATTAAGTGGCCTGCCAAGGCGATCAGCAATTTTCAAGTGGCCCATGGCAAGGAACTTTTGGCATAAACTTAAGTGGCTTAGAGTCCACTTGGTCTTGGTCAGATAAGACTTGGTCACATCCACACAGCACATTTAAAAGATGTTCCTCCCCCCAGCAAAGAATCCTGAGCACTGTAGTTTATCCTCCTCCCGTGCTACCATTCCCAGCATGCACAGCAGTTCCCAGGATTCTTTGGGAGGAAGTATTAATTGAATAGTGTGTGTATTGCCACGGATGCAGTAGTACATTTCTCTTCATCTAGTGGTGGGTCACGGCCTGATCTAAGGTGGACTTGTAGCAGCATCACAACCACCATACAAATACATGGTAAAAACAATTAATAAATGGGTCCCCAAATATCATGTTTGGGATAAGGGTAGATGAAAGATGGCCTTTGGGTCTGAAGAGGCTGGAGGCTGCTGCTACAGCATATGGTGTAGTGGTTAGAGTGGGAGACCTGGGTTCAAATCTGCTCTCCAACCATGAAACCCTCAGGGTGCCCTTGGGCCAGTCACCGCCTCTCAGCTTTATCTACCTCTCAGGGTTGCTGTGAAGATAAAATGAGGAGGGGGGAGAAAATCTTCTTCACTGCCTTGAGGAAAGGTGATGTAATGGTTCGGGATTGCAGACGTAAGAGTCCAGGAATGTATTATTACCTTATCTCATAAAATTAAGAAACAACATCTAATAAAGGGGCAATTATAACAATGAACAAACAATCACTCCACAGTTCCTAACTCCAATTAACCAATGATGGTTAATGATGTCAGATAACTGCTGCGGAGGATGGGAGCGGCTTCTGTCTCCAGGGTCTTCTAGATGGTCAGAGTTTACTTTCTCATCTTGCCTAGTCTAGCAGCTCTCTTCCCTTTTCCATTGTCCTTCTTCACCAGACCTCTCTCTTTAACTTCCTCTCTTCTGATGGTGGCATAGCGCCACAGAACATCCCAGCTCCAATCCCTGGTGTCTCTGGTTAGGGCTGGGAAACACCTCTGATTGAAACCCAGGAGAGATGCTGCCAGCAAATATAAAGAAGGGTTGGGGAACGTTGTTCAGGCCCTCAAGGGCCACATCCCCTTCTGGACAACCTCCCGGAGGCCACATGCCAGTGATGGGCAGGACCAGCGGCAAAAGTCTGTGGAGAAAAGAATGGAAAGCTTACCTGCTAGTTTCTACACATTCATACACGCTCTTTAGCCAACCTCCAGGCAAGCAAGATACATTGTCAGAGTGACTGCAAATAGGGTGTGTGGTCTGGGGAGAGTTCTGAGAGCCAAATAGAGTGGCCTGGGGGCCGCATTTGGTCCACAGTCTTTAGGTTACTCACTTGTGGTGTAGACAATTTTGTCTTAAGATTGCCAACTATCTTGTATAATACAGGATTGTCCCATACAGTATTTCAATGTAAAATGCCAAGTCCTTTATTGATACAGTTTTGTCCTGTATTTCGGGTCTTCTCTCTCTCTCCTAAGTTAGGTAAAGGTAAAGGGTTCCCTGACCATTAGGTCCAGTCGTGGCCGACTCTGGGGTTGCGGCGCTCATCTCACTATATTGGCTGAGGGAGCCAGCATACAGCTTCCGGGTCATGTGGCCAGCATGACTAAGCCACTTCTGGCGAACCAGAGCAGCACACAAAAATGCTGTTTACCTTCCCGCCAGAGTGGTACCTATTTATCTACTTGCACTTTGATGTGCTTTCGAACTGCTAGGTGAGCAGGAGCAGGGACCGAGCAACAGGAGCTGAGTTAGGGATCCTCCTCAAATGCATGTGTGTGAAAGGGTGTGTGAAAGGTCATGTATTGAAGCTCTGGGGAGCAAAACACAGACAGATATACAGATGTGTGTGCTTGTGTGTGTGCATGTATGTGTGTGTGACAAATTCCAGAGGCGGAGGCATAGCGTGGGGGTGTGTGCCGTGGGTGCTGTGGCCTCGGGCGCCATTCTGAGAGGCAGTGCAAACAGGGCCACCCACAGTAGGCTCCTTCGACAGAGCCTGGCTCTGAGCCAGAAGGAGCTGAGCCTTGACTGCCGCGCTTGTGCCTGGTGCAGCTTCGCCCCCCGGCTCAGGCCTGACCTGGTGGTGGAGAGCAGGAGAGTCGGTGGCAACACTGCTGCCCACCCTCCTTGACTGCGAGGTGCCTCACGCCCGGCTTCAGTAGCTCCGCCACTGGGTCACGTCCGTCCAGGAGGTAGAGAGCATCCCACCTTGGCTGCGGCGAGGCATGCAGCTCCACCTCCATCGCCAGGTCTGGCCTGACCCTGTGGCAGAGAGCAGGCAGAAAGTGGGCAGCAGCTTCCCTGCCCCTCTTCTACCCTGAACTGTGGTGCGTGAGAGAGCGCCCTCCACACCTCACCCCTCTTGGGGACGTGCCCCACATGCCCGTCCTGGGCAGCTTGGCATAATTTCCCCCCACTGTCCAGAGGGGCCATCCTGTTGGACTGCAATAGATTGTAATGGATTGCTTTGAAGTCACTTTAGCACCAGGTGGAAACAAAATCGCCCCCAACCGCCCCACCCTGCCCTCTACTTTGCCGGAACCAAAGTGGCCACCCTAATTCAGAGTTAGATGGACCCCTTTCTCTTTTTTAAAAAAGAGAATCTTTATTAATTTTCACATAGACAAATATACATAACATATAATACAAAAAACAATACAAATGAATAAAAAACAATAAAGAAAAGATAAAGAAACAAACATAAACAAATACACTATATTACATTTACATAACAAATTAAAATATGTAACTTCCAATAATTCTCGCTATACTACATATAATATCTGTATTCCTTGCACGGATTCATATTATTTTATTTTGTATATAAACACACGTTCCACTATTATATTTTAATTAATTCTTAGATATCAGTATCACTCTATTTCTGCAAGTATCTTATTGTTCGTACAATACATTTTCAAATATTCTTTAAATATTTTCCATTCCCTAAGTACCTTTAGATTTGACTATCCTCTAATTTTTCCAGTCAATTTTGCTAGTTGCAGGTATTCTATCATAAGAATTTGAGTTAGATGGACCCCTCTCATTCCCGTTCTAAGTTCTTAGGAGTAGGCCTAGAAGTGTAATAAATAAATAAGGATCCAAAGGCAAGAACATTCCCACCAAGGTTCCATCGATTAAAGTCCACAGGGACATCCTTCTTCTCATGCTCCCGTCTTCCCCTCCACTCTTCGTACCGCCAAAGGCTTGACTCTGACGGCTTTACTTTGCAATCATCTGTCCTGCGCTGATTTAAAAGGCAAGAGTGGTTTGGGGTTAAAGCTATTGAATGTAATTGCTCGACAACATGAGAAGCGTAATTGTTCTACAAATATGTATTTTTGAAAACCAGACCTCACTAGCTTCAGGGTGCGGAGTGGTAGGCTCTGCGCTGCATGGTGCTTTTGTGTTCTCAGGCGTGCATTGATTTATGTGCTGGGAGGGGGCTGCAACTCAGTGGTTTGAATACTCTGTATGTCCCAGTTTCAATTCCTGCCATCTACAGGCAAGGCGGGGACAGGGACTCCTGCCAGAAAGCCTGCAGAACTATTATCAGTCGATGTCTACACTGAGCTAGATAGAGCAAGGCTCTGACTCAGTATTAACAGCTTCCTATCTTCTATCTAGGTAAGTATTGTCAACACTGACTGGCAGCAGATTTCCAGATTTAAGGCAGGGGACATTCCCACCAGCCCTACCAGAGAAGCTGGAGATTGAAATGAGGAGCTTTCATGTGTAGAGCAGAGGCTCTGCCACCAATCCACAGTCCTTCTCTAAGTCAGGTCAGTGGTCCATCTAGGGATGCAGGTGGCGCTGTGGTCTAAACCACTGAGCCTCTTGGGCTTGCTGATCAGAAGGTTGGCAGTTCGAATCCCCACAAGGGGGTGAGCTCCCGTTGCTCTGTCCTAGCTCCTGCCAACCTAGCAGTTTGAAAGCATGCCAGCGCAAGTAGATAAATATGTACTGCTTTGGCGGGAAGGTAAACGGCCTTTCCACGTGCTCTGTTTTCCGTCACAGTGTTCCATTGCACCAGAAGCAGTTTAGTTATGCTGGCCACATGACCCTGAAAGCTGTCTGTGGACAAACACCGGCTCCCTTGTCCTGAAATGAGAAGAGCACAGCAACCCCATAGTTGCCTTTACTGGATGTACGGTAACCGTCCAGGGGTCCTTTACCTTTTACCTTTGAATGTTCTATACTCTCTCCATCTAGGCTCAGGTTGTATACGTATGTAAATAAACCACATTTCATAAAGATACCACTGTCTCTGCTAATTGGGGTGGTGTGTAATAATACGAATAAAATTATTATTTTGATGATGCTGACTCTCTCTGGCTGATCGAGAGAGCTGGAGTGTAAGTCAGAAGCTCATTCCCAAATGTGGGCAGAAGAGACTTCCTTTGCCTTAGGGAGAAGAAGCAACTCTTGTTCCCTTTTGACTCATCATCATACGGCATCTCTAAGACTTTCGGAGACTTGGCTGAAATCCCAGGAAAGCAAAATTTCATATAAGCAATCTGGTATAGTGTAGTGACTGAGCAAAGCAGGGTGTGAGCTGGAAAGCCACATCTCTGATTTTTTTCCGCAGCCAGAGACATGCCCTTTAAAACTGCTGCTGGATGAGGAGGTGATGGAGGTATAGCATCATCTGTTTCGCAACCCACCCCCAAAGCATCTGCCCACTCCCTCTCAGGGTTGTCATGAGAATAAAGTGTTATATTGGGGAGAAGGAGAACTGTGTATGTTGTTTAGAGCTCTCTGGAAGGAAGGCAGGATGCAAATGTAACAGATATGCAATTATTATTATTATTATTATTATTATTATTATTATATTTATACCCCGCCCTCCCCAGCCAAGGCCAGGCTCAGGGCGGCTAACAAGCAATAATAAAAACAAGTTGAATGAATACAACTTAAAAACAAGATTAAAATACAATTAAAATATTGAAACATTAAAATATTAAAATGCAGCCTCATCACAGGAGGAGAAAGGAAAAAGAAAAAAAGAAAGAGGGGGAGGGAATCAAACTGGCTCCAAGCCAAAGGCCAGGCGCAACAACTCTGTCTTACAGGCCCTGCGGAAAGAAATCAGATCCTGCAGGACCCTGGTCTCATGAGGCAGAGCGTTCCACCAGGCTGGAGCCAGTGTTGAAAAGGCCCCGGCTCTGGTTGAAGCTAATCTAACTTCCTTAGGGCCCAGGACCACTAGGGTGTTGCTATTTATGGACCTTGAGGCTCTCCGTGGGGCATACCGGGAGAGGTGGTCCCATAGGTAATAAAAATAATAATAATAGTAATTTTATGTTTGGGTTGCCAGATTTCAAAAACGTGAAAATCCAGACACAAAAGTTGTTGAGCTTTTCAGGGCAAAGTTCAGCTTTTTTGTGTGAAATCTCAAAAACAAAACAAGTACCCTCAAAATCTACACTACAGCCATACGTCCAAATTTTCCCAAACATTTAAGCAATTCCCACCAGGATGCTGTTTACAGGGACTGAATAAAAGCTATGCCTGGGAAATTCTGGATGTATGGCAACTCTATTTTATGATAGCATTCATGACTCACGTTTAAGGTGTAGGAAATGGAACACCTGAATTGGCTCATGGCAATTACTTCAATGGATAATAAGAATAATGAACGTTGGCAATAGGAACACAGGAAGCTTCCTTGCATACCTTGGTCCATCCATCCCAATATTGTCTACAATAACTGGCAGCAGCTTCCCAATGTTTCAGGCAGGGGACAATACCAGCTCTACCTTGAGACATCAGGGATGAACCTGAGACCTTCTGCATGTAACTCAGGTGTTCTGCCACTAAGCTTCCCCATAATACATTTATATAGAGCAGGAATCCACAAAACAGTTTGCTTCTTCTTCTTTGGTGATCACTCTGAGAGAACAGCTTATGTGTCCCAAGAACTAAACAAATACCCATTGTGGAGGAGGATGTCTGCGACTTCTCTGCATGATCCAGTGTTCTGGGCCTGCCTCCACCCAGTAAGCCCTTGTTGGTTGATGACAGATGGGCCACTCCACATTGGGCTGTGCCTGGATGCTTCAGTTTCTCCAGATACAGAGAGCATATTCCCTGCACTGCCCCTGATGTATCTTTGCATGACACATTGTTCTGAGCTGGCCTCCTCCCATCCAGATGTGTTCTTCTTGGGAGGGATTTCTTCCATTTTTTAACATTCTAAAAGTGACCCTTCTTGACTCCAGACTTCAGCCATCAGGGGTCTGTACAAACATGTCACACTGGAGAGTTTTGACCCCACTGGGCTAGGGCCAACGGCAGGAGTTAGCACAACTGGTGGACCTCGCGTTCAGATTCCAGGAGCATGAGACACCCACTTCCTGGACTGAGTCTTTCACGTTGAGGACGTCATCCATGAATTCCAAATGGACCTGGGTGCACTGTCCCTGAGAACCTGTCTTGCCCAGCACTTTTGTGGCTCAGGCCAGCTTCATCAGAATACCCTGGCCTCATTCACACATGCGCCAACATCAGCTGCTTTCCCTGTATCGAATTACTCAGTGCTTGATAGCTGAATGTGTGAACAGACACCACTGAAAAGCATTACATTTGAGGTGATCTGGGGTAATATGAAAGCTCTACCTGGACTGTTACAGCTGCATTGATGACATTGGAGTCATCAAGCGATGCACGGCTCTGTGTACGCGTGAACCTGATCTGTAGATCTAAAGAATATGTTGGAGGAGATTTCAGTGTTCCAACAACCACAGTAGCACTAACTGTTCATGTTGTTGGAAGTACGACAGCAGAGATCATGCAGTGTGTAATTTAAGGGTTAATTCTGTCAAACTTATGTCACCTAGCCAAGAAGGGAGACGGGTGGAAGTGTTGCTTGGCAACCAGTCAGGGTGGCCTGATCCTCACCAAGGTAGTATACACTCTGATTGGCCGTGTAGTTCGGAGGGAGTCTTTCTCTGTATGTTTCCTTGAATCTCACCCTGCTATATACAAGGCCTGAAGTGAAAAAAAGACCAAACCTCTCTGTTTATTTTTCCTTATTTTTCTTTAGTTTTTTTTTTCTCAGTAAGGTATTATCCTCATTTCTTTTCTCACTGGACTCCATCGGCTACTTAGGTGACTTTGCTAACACATGCAAGTATAGCATCATTTGCAGATGCTGGGCCAAGACGGTAGGCGTAATCCCACTGCCCACTCTGTATGATCCTAATCCACAGATATGGTGGCACGAGAAACATTCATGACTCAGACTGGACAGGTGAGTCAGTGGCTTCAACTGGTACTTGCGATACTGTTGCTTTGCCTTGACTGACGAATTTATTTATTTATTTATGGGGGGGAGGGAAGATGGAGAAAGCCCTAATGAGCCACCCTACCTTTTAGTCCCAGCAAATGTCTTAAGAAATCATGCAGGTATATTTCAGAGTCCTTGCCTTGAGCAAGTAGAATAGTGGAGCTTGCAATTCAAGTATTTCCTGATGTGTGCAAATGATTGCGTCATTATCTCTCACATTGATTAATCCAGAGTAACTCTCACCCTTAGTCAGTGGTTCAGTGCAGAGACAGGGAAACCTCAGGCCTGTGGAGAGGGACAGGCGAATGTGGCCCTCTAGGCCTCTCTGTTTGGCCCTCAAAATCCTTCCTAGGCCAAAACCCCTTACCTCAGGCCACACCCCCTCACGGCTTTGCATCCTCCTTGAGTGTTTTTGTCTGGCTGGAATGTGACCTTGATCCTGCTTTTTGCTGGGTGGAGGGCAGAATCATAGACTTAAAGAGTAGGAAGGGACCCCCGCAGAGATGTGTGTAGGGGTGCCAACTTGAATAAAATATCGAGGGAGCCCAGGTAAGCCCCATCCCACATAACGCATCACATGATGCGGTGCACACACACTATTTGAATGGCATTGCCCATCAACTTTGAGGGGCCTTGGCCCCCTCAAATAATTTTTTTTGGGGGGCTGAATGCCCTTGGCCACTAGGAATTGGGTTCTCTCTCTCTCTCTCTCTCTCTCTCTCTCTCTCTCTCTGTGTGTGTGTGTGAGAGAGAGTTGTATGAAGAAAGTAGCTCCAAAAACGAGCTGCGTGTTGGACCACCCAGTCTTAGCCTAACCTACCCCACAGGGTTGTTGTGAGGGTAAGATGTGAAGGGAGAGAATTATGTTTGCCCCCTTGAACTCCTTGGAGGAAAAGTGGGATATAAGTGAATAGTTTACTTTACATCTCTCTCCTCACTCCAGGCTGAGACTTCTGGGTTCCTCCAACAGAAAAGGCCCACACAGACAGTGTCTCTCATGAATCAAGGGGGATTCCCTGCCCTTCCCTGCAGAAACACACACAATTTTTAAATCAAGGGGGTGGCCCTGAGAAAACCACTCTGAGTCAGCCTGTCTCCGCTAGGATTTGGAAGGTTTATCTGCTCCTTTTAGGCAAAAGACCAAGGTATTTTGAGCCTAGCTTCAAAGAACTCTTTTGTATTCAAAGTTTCTGGTCCGTATGGTGAGTGGGATTAAAACTGAATTCCCCATCCCTTTTAGAATTACTGCGTTTCGCTCATATGCCAATTTAGGTCTATTTTAAGTCCAATTGATTATGAAAATGGATAGATTAATCAATCAAGCTGTTCTTAATAAGATGACAGCCCTAGCTTTTGCAGACTGGCTAGAAAGGTCCTCTCAGGGTATAGACCCTCCAAGTGTCCCTATTTTCTAGGGACAGTCCTGGAAGACATCCTGGTTTCTGATTTGATCCCATAATGCCCCGCTTTTCCTTAGGACATCCCTATTTTCATCAGAGAAATGTTGGAGGGTATGAGAGCAGGTAAGCAAGCCTCTGTTTAGGGCAACAGAGAAGCCAGAAGATGTATAGCGGCTGGTGCTGTCAAGATGTTCAGGACCACAACTCCCAGCTGCATGGCTCAGCTCCTGTTATGTACTGAGTTGAATAGGATCCAAACTGCAGCAGTCTGATTGGTCCTAGAACAATAGGATCCAAAATGCAGCAGTCTGATTGGTCCTAGAACAATACAGCAGTATGATTGGTTGCCAGGAACCACCCAATCATGCTCCAGATAGAAGTGAATCCACAACCTGATTGGCTTACAGTAGAATTCCGGAATTAGCCAATCATGTGCAGCCCATTGTGTAAATAATGTATATAAAGCAGATACTTTGAGGGGACCTTCATTCATTCCTCCTCACCACTATGAGCTGAATAAAGAGCATGAAATCATTTGCGACTCTGAGTATATTTCAGCTTCCATCATCCTTTGCTGTGCAGGCTGAAGCTGACAGGAGTTGTGGTTCATCTGGAGGGGACCAGGTTGGGGAAGGTGGATGTAGAGGGCCTTGTGTTGGTTTCTCCTGGTGGCTGATGTTGAGTCACTCAGGTATGATGGAAGGAGGTTTCCTTGAGTGAGTCAACAACCACGAGCCAGCTCTGATCGGAAAAAGCAACGGGGAAATAATGAAGGGGACAGAGACACGATCCCTGTTACACTATGTGCCAGGTGGATTCTAGGTCAGGCCAGCCCACAAGTGGGCCAAGGACATCCAATTGACACACACTCATCCATCCTCTGTTTCCACAGCAGTTCACAACATATCAAATCCGTGATGGAAAATATAAGTCACTTTGAGCTTGGAAGGCTAAGAGCATCGCTCTTGCTCATGTGCTTTGGAAAGGTCATAAGAATGCTAGATTAGATGGGGCAGTGGCCTGACTCCGTGGAATGCAGCTTCAAATGATAACCCAGGTGTACAGCCACAGAATTTGTAATAATGGGGAAACCGTATTGTTGCTTTTCTAGGGTTGCCCCAGTTGCCTCTGTTGTGATAAGGGAATGGCCCAGTGTATTTTCCAGATAATTTAGAAGGACGGAATATTTTCTACACTAGTATGGGCCTAGGAGGGACGCGGGTGGTGCTGTGGATTAAACCACAGAGCCTAGGATTTGCTGATCAGAAGATTGGCAGTTCGAATCCCCACGATGGGGTGAGCTCCCATTGCTCAGTCCCTGCTCCTGCCCACCTAGCAGTTCGAAAGCACGTCAAAGTGCAAGTAGATAAATAGGTACCGCTCAGGCGGGAAGGTAAACGGCATTTCCATGCGCTACTCTGGTTCGCTAGAAGCGGCTTAGTCATGCTGGCCACATGACCTGGAAGCTGTACGCCGGCTCCATCGGCCAATAAAGCGAGATGAGTGCTGCAACCCCAGAGTTGGTCACGACTGGACCTAATGGTCAGGGATCCCTTTACCTTTACCTTTACGGGCCTAGGAGGGATGTAACTCAGTAGAAGGCCCTGTTCAATTCCCAGCTTTTCCAGTTAGGACTGGAAACGTCCCCTGAAACTCAGTCAGTGTAGACAATGCTGAGCTAGACGGACCCGTGAACCTTCTTAAAGCAGCCCTTTATTCCAGCCCCGAAGGACTACAATATTACTTCCTTTTTAAGGGAATATCTCAGTGGCAGAGCAGCTGCTTTGAGATGGTCACAGGTTCAATTTCCAGTTTATGGCAGCCCTCAGATTATAGAATTCCCTCTTAACTGAGGTACGTATGGTTCCAACGTTGACAATGATTAACATGGCCTTTTCTTAAAGGTTTTTATCTCAGAGGTGGTCATTTTAGTATAGATGGGATTGTTGGTGGGGTGATCATTTGTATTAATATTTGTAATCTTTTAAATTAAAGAAACTGGCCTGAGCGTATGCTTTTGGGGATCTATATCTGAACTGCCTTGGGTAGGCTACACCCAGCAACAACGTCATGCATTTGCAAAGCAGATTAAAAATGTTCTCTGATTTATCCATGCTATTGTAACCATTTTACAGATGGGGCAATGTATTTCAACAGCAAAATTGCCCAAGGGCCACCCTGTGGGTGGGATCTGAATCTAGGCCCTTCCAGCTTCGTCCAACCCTACACCACTCAAGTGTCTAACTTGCTGGTAAACCCTCTTGCAGTAGTGGTTTAGTCATAATCCCAAGGGCTGTGCCCCAGAGTCACAGCAGCAGCAAATGGACCATGGAACCTGCTCCATTAGGGAACATGGGCAGATGGGGCACTGCCCCACCAGCCTGAGTCCTCAAAGTCCACCTGTTTTCATGCTTTCAACCAGTCCAGAGGGTTCCTCTGGCTTTTCTTCTTCCTCAGGAGGAGTCTCAGTGTTGCCCTTCTAAAACTCAAGAGGGAAATGGAAGCAAAGGTGGAATGAGTTGGCTCTGCCTGTCATTGACTCTGGCTCCATCTGCTGTTGGGCTTTCTGCTTTTTGCCACCATTGCAAATTGATGTGCCAAGGAAGCCTCACAACAAACCAGGATGAATCTGATCCCTCCCTCACTGCCTAAAAGAGAAATTGGGCAAGATTCTAAGAATGCAACATTGAGTACAGTGGTACCTCGGGTTACAGATGCTTCAGGTTACAGACTCCGCTAACCCAGAAATAGTACCTCGGGTTAAGAACTTTGCTTCAGGATGAGAACAGAAATCGTGCTGCCGCGGTGGGAGTCCCCATTAGCTAAATTGGCACCTCAGGTTAAGAACAGTCTCAGGTTAAGAATCGACCTCCAGAATGAATTAATTTCTTAACCCGAGGTACCACTGTACTCTCCAACATATCGCCAATGAAAATAGAGGAGATGTCCCATTCCATAATGATAATTTTACTATTTATACACCACACATCTTATTGGGCTGCCCCAGCACTCTGGGCAACTTCCAACATATATAAAAACATAATAAAACATTAAACATTAAAAAACTTCCCTATACAGGATTGCCTTGGGGAAGGCGACTTGGGGGTTGGAGAACTCCATATCCCCCAACATTTCTCCAAAGAAAATAGGGACATCCTAAGGAGAAGCAGGACATTCCAGGATAAAATCAGAAACTGGGACGGCTTCTCTAAATCAGGGACGTCCCTGGGAAATAGGGACACATGGAGGGTCTGACACTGCCATCACCAGCACCAGTCTTGTCTCTCCTCCTACACAGCTAAAGACTTGGAGAAAGTGCTGGAGATAGAATGGAGAAGCAGATTGCAAAAGGAGAAGGCAAGCTGATAACCAAAAGGACTGGAATGAAGACTGTTAAGATAAACTGGGCTGCTTTGCACAATCAGATCCTGGCTGAGTTAGCCAGGATATGAACAAACTTGGAGCTTCATTGCAACAACCTCCCTCTTCCCTTTGCTCAAGTGTCTGTGCAAGACACAATTCAGCTTGCAAGCCAGGAAATGAGATAATGACAAACAGCCAAGCGAGGATATGAAGCCACTTTTAAACCACGGCTTCATATTTGGGTTGTTTTGAAACAGCCAACCCATAGTTTCTAAGGCCACATGTAATAGGAAACGAAGCCTAAGTGCTGAATCTTGGCTTGTATTGTTGCTTGTGTGTAAGGTAAAGGTAAAGGGACCCCTGACCATTAGGTCCAGTCGTGACCGACTCCGGGGTTGCGGCGCTCATCTCGCTTAATTGGCCGAGGGAGCCAGTGTACAGCTTCCGGGTCATGCGGCCAGCATGACTAAGCCGCTTCTGGCGAACCAGAGCAGCGCACGGAAACGCCGTTTACCTTCCCGCCGGAAAATCTACTTGCACTATTTATCTACTTGCACTTTGATGTGCTTTTGAACTGCTAGGTGGGCAGGAGCAGGAACTGAGCAACGGGAGCTCACCCCGTCGCAGGGATTCGAACTGCCGACCTTCTGATCAGCAAGTCCTAAGCTCTGTGGTTTAACCCACAGTGCCACCCGTGTCCCTGCTTGTGTGTAGGGAGGAGCAAAGCAACAGAAAATAGGGCTGTAATGTTTCAAAAAGTAAAAACCAGTTGTTGAGCTTTTTTTAGGAAGACCCCAAAATTGTTGAACTATTCCCCCCAAAAAAAACCCCACAATTTTTTGATGGACTTATCTAAGATTCAGGGCAAGCAGTGCATCTGCCCCCAAACCTTTGCAGGTGGAACCAGTAATGAAAGCAGCATTGTGTATATCCACCCTGATACCACCAGGACCACAATTTTTCATGAATGCATAGTAAAAAGAACATTTAGAGGAGTCTTCTGGTTACTTAGCTGCAGCAGGAGGCAAAATTCTTCTTAAGTGATCTGTCCAGACTCCATCCCTTACGATTTATTACACCTTCGCCAACCATCACAGCTGCTCCCACTGCCCATTTCCACTGCCATCTGCTGGGCACTGAGTTTTATTTCAGCAGTGATTTAATTCCTCACAAGAGATGGGAAGGCAGCTGAGAAGATGGGCTGTATTTTGGAATTAAAAAACAAAAACAAACCCCACACTGGACTTGGAACTTCCTAGCAGAATCTTCCTAGCAGAACTGCACTTTGTGTTAATAGCAAGGGTAAGATTAGGGCCAGCCCAACACATTTTGCTGCCTGAGGCACAGGACAAGATGGTTCCCCTGCATTCCATGTATAAAACGTGACTAGACCAGCAAATGGAACACTGATGATGAGACAGGACCCTCTGCCACACCTGAGGGTGGCAGGCTAGCTTAGGGGGCACAGAGCTAATGGCCCGAGGCAGTTGCCTCACTCTGCCCAATGGTAGGACTGTGCCCAATGCTTGTGATGTGCAAAATCTGCTTTAGAGGGGAGAAGGTTTGAGAGAATCAACATCCTTGCAGCTTCAAAATCTGCACAAATTAACTCTCTCAAACTTTCCCCATTTGGAAATCTGCACGGATATGTGAGGGAGCAGATTTCCCAGAACGCACCACTTTGAATTGGATATTTCTACATTTTGTTTCTCTGCGAGTGCTTCAGATTTGAGTGCATCTTTCAACTTTGCATAAGGCAGCCAGCTCCCATTGTGACCAAGAGTTTTTCCAGCTTGAAAAATAAATAAATTGGGTGGGTAGCTGAAAAGTAGAGTTTCTCAGGAGGAATCGCAGGAAATATTTATGTGATGTATATTGAGCTGCAATTTTTTTTTTGTTCCCTGAGTGATATTTCAATATTTGCAGTAGATATACCAGTATTCCCACTAGCACTGGTAAGAATTTTGGTAGAGGAATTCTCAAAGAATGAGTAAAACTTGACAAATGTCAATATTTTTTTTGCACACTTCCATCTTGCCCCTAGAGAGGATTTTGTTAAACAACCCTCCTCCCATTTTTGTTCCAAATCTTACTTTATAGCTGCAGTGTGTGTGTGTGGGGGTGGAAACTGGAAGACTTCTGAGATAATCCTTAACTGCTGTATTTATCATTTGAAGCTGCATCCTATGGTGTTATATGCAGGCAGGGGGATAAGCGGCTCACCGCTGTCACTTTCTTTGAACTCGTAACTGAAGAGACAAACTGCAGTGTGGAAGGACAACTGGAAACCTCTGAGTATATCCTCAACCTCTGCATTCATCTCTCAAGGCTGCATTCCAACTGAGTGATATGCCTGTGTGGGAAGGGGTGTGATCCAAAGCAGCCTTTTGCATTGCTGAAGAGGCAAGCTGGCTTTAATTTTAAATGGAAAAGCAGCTTGCCTCTTCAGCAGTTTTTTAACTGGGAAGTCTGCAGATTTGAAGTATTAGCCAAAATGTGGGCTGGCCTCTTCAGCAAGGAATGCAAAACGAATATATCTCTACCACAACTTCAGTGTTTTTCTTCAAATTTCCTTTTTAAAAAATAAATTAATAATAATAATATTTTTATTAGGTTTTACATAACAAATTTAAATTCAAACACATCATTCACCTCTTCATCTAGGATTCTCTGAATCCTTTGACTTCCCACTACACTTCCATGGTTACTGTTACCAATCTTTTTTTCAAATGCTTATTTTCTCCAATTTGTTAAAAAACAATAATCCATTTTTCCATAGTTACATTACAAGCATTACTCAAATCCTGCCAAAGTTTTGAGTTGTTTACAGTGTTCTCTTAAGCACATTATAAATTTCCCCCATTCCTTTTTGAAATTCTTCCCTTCCTGGTTTCTGAGTTCCCCAGTCAGTTTTGCCATTTCGTCA